CTAGCGGAATCTTTTCAGTATGAGTCATTTTACTGCTCGCCTTCATGTTAAACTGGTAGTAGGAGGCTCCAGTGTGGGTCGTTCTATTACTTGTTTAACCCTTGTTTGATTGACATTAAAAAATGATAGGAATTGTGAGAATTCATAGTAGTAGGATACTCTAGTGCGAGTTATCGTACTGCTTGCTTGAGTGTGTTTAACGAGTAAATATATATGTAAAGTCTGATTGTTTACCGCTTGTTTACATGCAACCTATTTGACTAACATTGAACCAGTAGTAGGATACTCCAATAAGGGTCATCTTATTATTCGTCTAAGTTAGACTGCACAAGGTTCAAGTGGTATTAGGATACTCATGTGAGGGTCTTCTTATTAGGAACTTGAATTTAAACTAATTCATATTGAAAAAGTAGTAGGATGCTGTAGTGTGAGTCATCATACTGCTTCTTTGTCTGTCTATTTACATTTAATTGGCTTGTTTAATATCAAACGGTTAGTAGGATACACCAGTGAAGGTCATATTCTTACTTGTTTGAAATTAGAATACGCATTATTCAAGAGGTCGTGGGGGGGTTTCGGTGAGGGTCATCCTATTATCCACTTGAATCTTGAATAAGTGGTAGTGAAAAACTGGTAGGATTCTGCAAGGAGAATCATCCTACTGCTTGTTTTCTATATGCTTACATATAATTTGTTTGTTTGACACCGAACTGGTAGTAGGATACTCTAGAGAGGGTAACCCTATTACTTGTTTGAAATCAGTATGTACTGTATTCCAAAGGTAGTAGGAGACTCTATTGATGGTCATCATATTACTTACTTGAATCTAAACTAAATAGTGTCTAAGAATTAAAAGTATACTGTAGTGTGAGTCATCCTACTGCTTATTTCCTATTTGTTTACCTACAAATATGCTTGTTTAACATTGAATGGTAATATAATACTCTAGTGAGGTGAAGCTAGACTGCGTTGAGAGGGAGTCGGAGGCTTCCGTGTAGGTCATCCTGTTACTAACTAATAATCTACACCATTTTTTGTTTATCTGCTAAAAACTAAACAAATAGTGGGGTACTCTAGTGTGAGTTGTCTTACTGTTTGTTTAGTATTGAAAGGTAGTGCGATATTGTAGTGTGGTTTATCCTATTACTTGTTTAAAATATATATATATATGTATATATATATATATTATTTTGTCTGTAGTTATCCTACTGTTCATATGTATGTGGACTTAATGATGTTGAAAAGGTAGTAAGATACTTCAGTGTGAGTCATCTGACTACGTGTTTTGGCGTAGATTGTCTGGTATTGAACAAGTGGTATGACACTCCAGTGCGAGTCAATTTACTACTTGCGTGTGCTATAACTAAAAATGACCGAAACAAGAAAAGAGAGATACTCCAGTGTAAATTTTCTTTTGTTTTTCTAAGTATAGGTTAATCAAAGCGGCATGATAGAGACTCGAGTGTGAGTCGTACTACTGCTCGACTGAGTCAATATTGACTCGTCTCAGGATAAGTGGTAGGATGAAGGTTACATTGAGGGTCTTCATATTGCTTACTTACTTTTAGTCTCATTAGACTATGAAGTTCCTTATATCGCTTGAATCAGATAACTATCTTTCAAGAAACGATCAGATAGGGAACTCAAGAGATTACTTATTTAGAGGAAGTTGTCCTCCGTTAGATTTGAAGTTCTGATTACTGAACTTCATATGTAGTCATACCTATAGCAAGGGGTTGTTGAGGCCGTGTTGACCTGTGTGTAATTGAATGTCACCTCAATTAAAAAATTATTCCAAGAGGACTCATTGTAAGTTTATATAAGACTACATGTTGTTGCCTTATGGTAACATGTCCGTTTACCAACTCAACCTTCACTCACCTTCGACACCCACGCTTTGTATTGATCTCTGCACTAAAGGGCATTGTTGATTTTTCTGTCATAGTGCATTGTTGATTTTTCTGTCATTGTCTAAAGGGTATGTGGTCGGTCAAAATTTTTTTATGAATGACTAAAATCAGATGAGACTGAATGCCTAAGTCCAAAAAGAGATGTTTGGTTCTCAAATGTTTAGAAATGTGAGTGCAATGCGGGTGAAAGTGAACAAATAGTTGACTTTGTTAGAATTGTGAAATGTGTTTTGTTTTTGTTTGGAGGTTAGTAAAACGACTATCCATGTGTTATTCACAATGTAACCCATATTAACAGACTTATGCTCATCTGGGTCTTGATTAAGACACTTCAACGATATTGTAACTTTGCACATTTCATTTGAAAACTCAACCGTACTCTTTCTTAATGTTAAACATATTACAATGATCAGCGAAACCAATAACCTTGTACATTTTATATTTTATTGAAAGACTACGAGTCTATCTTGATTTTTGATATATGACTAAAAGGCCGAGAACCTATGTTTGTTTTCTTCAAACAAGTTAATGTTTCATGCATTTTTATGTCTGTCTTTGCTTGTGTAAAAATGTAAAAATATTTTTTTGAGTTTGGTTTCAATCCTTAAAATCTATATATTAAATGTGCATTGTTTGGCCATGGTTTGTATAACACGAATAACTTAAGGGTTAAGAGTAATAAAATTAAAACGTTGCATGCACAAAATTCGTCAGTCAACTCGACCTGAATTGTAAATCGGTTAGGGAGATTAGCCCCGTGATGACCGAAACATATATATGTCAATCTTAGGCGCTCTACCACGCGTATGCCTATGCTACAACGATCGAGCAAACGTTCCCTGTCGGCCTACTTCTACGATTGCAAGTAAAAATCTTCTCATGTGGGTTGGTAACTGAGTAGAGATACACCTACCTCAGGGTGGTGAGAGACCCTCAGGTAGAGGTAAGTAAGTTGTACCCTGAGGAACCTTATTCTATGGCAGAGAGCCGCGAGAGGTATAATTGACGCGCACGGTTGGAGTGGTATCTCTTGGCTCAACACAATAGCTTACTTCTTCGTGACACGACTGTGAGGTCAGACACTTACTGCAAGTTGTAAGACCGCTGCGTCCGACAACGTAATTACGCATGATTAAGTATTATGGGTTCATTCGTACGTTCGTTCTTGTTATGAGTTCATTCATACGTTCGTTATTCTTGTGGCTTCGTTCTCACGATCGTTCTTCGTTTTCGTGCGAGCCGCACACTATTGCTCGCATGCAACATGAGTTATGGGTCCAAATATTTACGAACGGATTATGCATAAGTGCGTAATCTGAGTTAGTGATATTGTTAATTATGTGGTGTGTGGTCAAGTTTGGGTGTCCTCCGATGTAAGGCCACACATGAGAGATCGACGCCCCACGTAACGGGTCACATTAACCGCGCATATCCTTTATGCTACAACGCATGAGAAACGCCCTCGACTGGTCTATCTACATGATTGCATGTAAAAGTTTTCGTGTGTGGGTCAATAGCTCAGCGAGGATACGCCCACCTAAATTATGGTGACAATTGTCGTGGGTAGAGGTAAGTTTTACCCAGTGGGGTCCTATCCTGTCGTAGGGACTCGAGGGAGGTATACCTGGCGCACTCGGCCGGAGCAGCATTGCTGCTCCTTTGATTGCGTCCCAAATTTTTGCCAATCCTGCGTGACGCGGCCGAAAGGGTCCCCTCTGTGGGACTGATGCACTTGACATCGTACTTATGGAGCTGGTTGGCTTTGGGTTACCAAGGTGTGGTGCTATTAATGAAGAAGAGTCGTGCTGCGGGGCTGATACCGGAAAACCTTCACGTCCCTATTCCCCCGCCTCCTCCACCATTCGATGATGGATCCTCAGGTTGATCTGACAAAGGTCATGCTGGTGGAACACCCCGCCTCTTTTGAAAATTTTGAACTCCAACCCTCAATTTTGCAAAAACTTCCGCTCTCCCCTATTTCGGAAGCCCGACATACATTTTGGAAATATTGATCTTTATCTTTGTTTTGCAATGTGCTAAGCCCGACATACATTTTGCAACCAGCACGGCTACGAAACGCTGCATCCCCTGTTCTATCTACGGTGTGCATAGATTATCAATCATATGTAATCACCAGCCTTCTCTAGAAGAACAAGCATCCATCCCAAAATTCCCCAATCTTGCTGGGTAAGTAAGATGACTCTCCTCCCCCAAAGGTCCTCTACTTTCTGTCCGCCCCCCAAATCTGTTCCCCCCCCAAATCTGTTCCCCCCCCAAGGGGGGCTCTACTACTGCACCCCTAACCCCCTAACCCCCTGAAGACTTGTGATGGGCACAAGTACAATGGTAACAGCAAGCATCCCCAGGAGAGGTAGTAGGTTGACGTGGAGATAATAGAACAACGCTCAACTGAACTACCCTGCTTGCTGCCACATGGGGATTACTACATGGGATGTCAGCGGACAACAACCTGAGCATTTGCAGGTCAGGCTGAGGGTCGATCAGGATAGAATCCACAAGCTGTCCCTTGTGACGCGAGTGTTCGAACCGAGCGACCATGTGTGTCAAGGGTGTGTTGTAATGTTTGACAACTTGCCCGTGGACAGGAACCGGACTGCTGCCCCCAGATTGAACAGAGGCAGTGAGCGTAGCTTACGGACAAGGAAAGCAAGGGGGGATAAGAGCAGGAGGCGTCGGAACCCACAGGTTATGGAGATATGAAATTTTCTCAGCAGATATCCCCTAACATATCGAAAAACATGGAATGGGCTATTGGCTATTGGCTATTCTAACGAAGGCGGCGAGAGGATGACCTGGCGGCGGTAGGCGCCCTGTGCGATTGGGTTCAGGCGAATGCGGATTGGCTGATGCAAGATGTCGATCGGAGATAGCCACCATAGGACTGTGGGACCTGAACTGTCATGGTTTGGCTAATTTGACTTGGCGCGAATCCCGCGGGAACAACCCCTTTTGCTCTCCTCTTGTGGGGTATATTTCTCTCCTCGCTTGTTGGTAGTTCGTTTCCGCGCCGTCTCCCAAAGGAAGGGCGATCACAGGGCCAGGATCTGGTTCGCAGGATAGGACGGGACCTGGTCGAAGGAGGTAATGCTGCTTTTGCCGGAAGGTCGTTGTGTTCCGTCGTACCTCGCCATTCACCCATCGCATCCCTTAGATTTTGGCACGGTGCCACGTTGGCAGAAGGCCACGTGCACTGGTGAACGATCGGCGCTCCTGCGGCGCGTCCTACTCAACGGAGGGAGGCGCACGGTGTGCGAGCATACAGAGAAACGGCCGCAAATCGCCTCGCTACCGTTTGGCGTCTTGCGTTCCTCCTCGTCCTCTCTCTCTCTCTCACTCTCTCTCTCTTCTCCCCGCCTCCTCGCCGCTCGTTTTTACCTCGGATCGACTTCTCTCGCAGGCACTCCCGTACCCTGCCCCGTCTGCCTGCCTCAAGTTTGCCTTATCTTACAGTTGGGCTCGTGTGTGCGGCGAGCGGTGCAAACGGGCAGACACACACACGAAGAGAGAGAGAGAGAGAGAGAGAGAGAGAGAGAGAGAGAGAGAGAGAGAGAGAGAGATGGTAGTTGCATGTGGAGCGGGAAGCGCGACGTCGATTCTCGGTCGTGGTGCAACTTGTCGAGCGGCGGCGTCAGGAGTTGTAGCGATTTCAGAATGTCAGACCAGCGCGACGGGTTCACCGGCCCCGACTTGGCCAGGTGCAGTCGGGAGCGGAACGGAATCATCGTCGGTGTCGGGGTCGGCGGGGTCATTGCTCGGTCGTCGGGGGCGGGACGATGCCGGCACGTCATCAACTTCTCCATCGTCAGGTAACTTCGGGAAGCGAAGCGGGGGACGACTGAGGTGGGCCAGGTTGCTTCGCACTTGCCACAGAGGAGGAGAAGCGGGAGGAGGGGGAAGAGGAGGAGGAGGAGGAGGTGTTGTCTTTGTGGGATGGCAGCATCGACAGCCGGACCGGGATGTTAGGCTGGGGATCTCTTCGGTGGCTGTCGGTATTACTTCGCCGCGGAAGCCAGCGCCTGCGGGTTTTGGCTGCGGAGGTGGTCGGGCGCCATGCGCGCGCATTCGCTTAAGGTCGGCGCAGCGGAAGGCTGCAGCAGAGCGCGACGAAGCGTCTGCGTCTGCGTCTGCGAGTGGAGTGATGGTGGATGACGCAGCTCAAGGGCGGCTTTTGGAGGGCATTACCGAATGGGAATTAGATTTTTGCTCCAGGCCCATTCTAGACGCAAGGGGGAAGAGATTATGGGAGCTGGTCGTATGTGACAAGACCCGGATGCTGGAATATGCCGAATATTTCCCCAACAACAAAATCAATAGCGCCAATCTAAAAGACGCTATTTCGAGAGTGATGAGGGACTTTACCGTGCAGAAACCCACGAAGATTCGGTTCTTCCGGTGCGTGCTCTACTCCTTGCCCCGTGGCGACCCCTTGGCCGACTTCTCCTCTTCCCCGCTTATCTCTGACAACCCCGCCTTCCTCTTCCACTTTACGGCCTATAGCTTACAAGCTTCTCTCTCTCTCTCCCTCTATGTTCCTCCCCCCCCCCCC